TTGATTTTGTCATTTGATAAAGGACATTCCGCTATGAATTTTCCTCGGCAGTTCGATATCTTTTTTTTTTATTTTACTTGTTTACACTGCTTGTATGACAACTTTCAATACACCTGCTTTAGTTGATAAGAGATAAGCTGTAATATGCATCCTCAACGAATTAGTTCATCTTAATAGATTGACGATGTGCAATTATATATCTGATTTATTAATGCTTCATCATTCTGAGATATTATTGCTGTGTCTAGTATTCAATCGACGAACATTCTCTTATTTATATTTTAAACAGTTAGTCAGACATAATATCCTGCCTTACACAGAACATGTTTACTACATATATAGCATTGCAATGTATATAAACTTTGTTTCAGTGTCGAATTCGGTAAAGTGGCTTAAAGTGTTCCTTACATTTAGATACAGTATACGATACAGAATAGGTTATTACAGCTGAAGTGTGACTCCTTTTTCAAAAGTTAATTTCACCAATTTGACAGCATTATGTCTATGTTCGATTTGATGAATAAGTGAAACAAATATATATTTCTGTTTATTATCCCTAACATAGCCTTCAATTTCAACAAGAGTGCACACGCTGAAATGTCGCGCCTGCTTAACTAACTACAATGAACTGTGATTGATTCAATGTTGACATAACATAATAAAGATTTAACTACAAGTATCACATGAACTGAACATTATCATTCATCGACGACATAAGGTCAAGTCAGGGTCAGATACACCCTGGTAGACATGTACACCTTACAATAATTTCACACACTAAATGTAGCTGACCTATTACTTATGGTAATTGAAAAAACAGACCAAAATACAAAAAAATAACATTAAACAATGAACAATAAAACATGAGGTCACATTCAGATGTTTTCCGCCAGACAGACATGTAAACCTAACAATCATTCCATACATCAAATGTATCTGACCTTTTGCTATAAGCATTTGAAAAACAGGTGAAAAAAACAAAAGACTTAACATTAACCAATGAGCCATGGAAATGAGGTCAAGGTAGGATGATACCACTTGACAAACCTATACACCTTACAATCATTACTTACGCTAAACATAGCTAAACTATTGCTTTTGGTATTTGGAATACAGACCAAAAAACAAATACTTAACATTGACCAATGAACCATGAAATTAAGGTCAAGGTCAGTTGAAACCTACCAGGCAGACATTTATTCCTTACAATCATTCCAAACATCAAATAAAGTTGACCCACTGTGTATAATATCCGAGAAACGGACCTTATCACGTAACTTTAACCTTGATCACTGATCAATGAAATGAGGTTGAGTTCGGGTGAACCCTGTATGACACACATGTAAACATTGTAAGAAACCTATGTAATTATCCAATCACTCAGTGTAAGTGAGAAATTCACATAAAAATCTAAATATTTCAATCAGTCGCTGAAACATGCAAATGAGGTCAAGGACAATAGACATATGACAGTCAGAAATTTCGTTACACAAGATATCTGCATACAAGACGTGACGCATCGAGGTCTTCTACTTACTAAAATGTAAAGTTTTCAACAAATAGTGTGTGCCACCACTGGATAGTAATCCTAATGTCTCACTCTGAGACTTTCGTCGCAGGCATGAAATAAACGGGATACTATATTTCAACTTATATGCCGGTGTCCTTAAAATTTAACATTTATTAGAATCTGTACGACGAATATTATTGAGAAGGTGATGCAAATACTGTCATGATTTATTGAAAATCAAGATATCGTGTATGTTACAACGTATTTGATTTTAACGAAAGAAATCTCTGTATAACTGAAAAATATTACACCAGGGTTTTCAATAACACAAACTAGTCAAAGCATTCACTAAATTTTATAATCAGTACAAGGACATCATTCGTAAATATAAATCAACACGCTGACATCTTATACGTTCAGGTATACCACATCCAATCTTTTATATTAATATTCTTTACAAAGCACAAAAATGACGGCATTCACCTCAAAAGCTAACCAAATCTTTAACAGATTTATTCAGAAGGGATATGGTTACAATACTGTTGTCAGGTCATTAAAGATGGCATATCTTGGTATTAATATTGATTCACTCATAGGGTCTTTGCATCGGAAATGAACACATTTATTCTAAAACCAGTTGTTGGCATGATACGGGATATGTTACTCGTGACCGAACAACACTGATAATTATGCGCATTTGAGAATTAATGTGTTGTTCGGTCACTCGTTGAATATTTTTATATATTTGAATTTTTTTTAATTACATTAGCAAATGGCTTTTTGTATGAAATTAAAGTAGAAAATGTAAGGAACTATATCTTTCTCTACGCATTTACAATTTGTTTTGATCCGACGTTATTGACGTCTTGACAACGCCTATTGTTGTATGACGTCAGAGGAGTGAAATAGCCACGTTTATTTCACATGTGAAATTATCGGTTTTTATTTTACTGGGAAATCTATGTAATTCATTGCAACCAATGTAATAAACACATTTATTCTAAAACAAGTTATTGGCATGATACGGGATATGTTATTCTCACATATTTTATGGTGGTATGATACTAAACCCCTACCGGGAGGGATTGTGCATGATTTTCATATGATGAAGACATAATCTTTAATTTAGTTTAATTGAGCTCTGGAGCTGGCATGTCAGTAACTGATAGTAGTCCTTTGTTAATTTATGTATCATTTTCATGTTGCTTAGTTTCTTTTGTTACCTATTCTGACATCGGACTCGGACTTCTTTTAAACTGAGTTTTACTGTGCGTATTGCTGTGTGTTTGTGTAATCTACATTGGCTAAAGGTATAGGGGGAGGGTTGAGATCTCACTTAACATGTGTATGTGACTGTATTGTGACCTATAATGGTTTACTTTTATAAATTTTGACTTGGATGGAGAGTTGTCTCATTGGCACTCATACCACATCTTCTTATATCTATTACCCCCGCTGCAATTTTCCGCCTGTCCAAATCAGGAGCCTCTGACCTTTGTTATTCTTGTACGTTTGTTTTAATTTTAGTTCATATATATGTTAAAGAGTTTAGTATGACGTCTATTTTTCACTGAACTAGTACATATTTTTGTTTAGGGGTCAGCTGTAGTCCGCCTCCGGGTACGGGATTTTCTCGCTGTGCTGAAGACCCATTGGTGGTCTTCGGCTGTTTATTTTTTTTTACTCTTTGGTCGGGCAGTTGTTTCTTTGACACATTCCCCATATCCATTCTCTAGTTTAAGGTTTATCCTACTTAAACAATCAATAAGTAATGCTTTTTTGTTATCTAATATTTACTTATTTAGTGTTATATCTCGTCTCTCTATTTTCAATATATACCAGCCTTGATAAGTGTTTGGCATGACTATAAATTTTCACTTCTGTTCTCGCACTATGAACAACAAAATTATTTATTTTGTATAAAATATGTTTCCGTTCTCCAATACTGTATACCTAACAACATAATTATTTTCATTTATGTGTACATTATAATTATTACGTTTTTTATATATATTAGATCGTTGGTTTTCATATTTGAATTGTTTTACACTAGTCGTTTGGGGACCCTTTATAGCTTGCTGTTCGGTGTGAGCCAATGCTCCGTGTTGAAGGCCGTTCTGTGACCTATAATTGTTTACCTTTACAAATTGTGACTTGGATGGAGAGTTGTCTCATTGGCATTCATACCACATCTTCTGATATCTAAAGCCATGCTCTGCATAATTTTCCGGAAGATCTGAGATCACCTTAATTATTTTGTTTGTGTTTGTTTTGCAAAACTTTATGTTTCCTTTGTAATGTTTCATGGATTGGTTTGTCTTCGTATTTGTTTCCTCATCCTTTTGTTTTTTTCCTTTCTTTGTCCGTTTCTTTTCAACTAGGGAATTTTTTCTTAACTTTTTGCTGATTTCAAACACTCCTTCTCTATCTGTTTTTTTTATATCCATCATAAAGTTCCTCGTGGATACGTGGCTTATAAATAAGAGTAAGGAATGTTCTTTTAGTCTACATGGGCTCATCAGTGACGGTTAGGTAAAACAGTTAAAAGGTCAAATCAAGTATGAAGTTGAAGAGCATTTAAACCTAAACATCTAAAAAATGGTGACAAATAGGGTTGAAGCTATCAACGTTTGGTTGTGGAAATTTTTTACATTTTATAGACAGTAAATTCAAAGAAAAAATATTTCAGGACTAATCAAAAGTGTTGACTTCTACACTGGCTATAGCTACCTGGACACATTCTGAAGTTTAGAAGCATATAAAAGAGAACTTGTACATGTTGTATGTTATACACTAATTGACAAAAGGCCATATAAGCTTGGAAGAACTAAACTTGAGATTTTTCAACGATTTTAATATTAACAATATGAACAACTTTCAAAAAGGACAAAACACATCATTGCGAGTTCTAACACATGATTGAGGAAAGATAATAAATATTTTGTTAAAGGACAGAAGATAATCACTGAAAAGTGTCATTATTAATTCATTCCTTTTTAAAAGGAATATCCTATTTCTACACAGTAACAAAAACATATAGTTTTGATGAGGTAACATTAACAACAAAAATGCAATACAAAAAAATTATCTTGCAACACCTCGACTTGACAATACTGTTACATATCAAGAGGTTGGTTAAAAAAATCAATGAGCAAAACGCAAATGCAAAAGAAGATCAACTCATTTCATTGGACCAATTTAAAAAAGTGTATAGTAATGAGGTGACAAAAATGGAAATTAACCAGAATGAAATTATATGATCTCTTTTACTTAACATTTAAGTGTTATAAACGATAAAAAAAACACATTAAATAACATACAACAATTATATACGTAAACATCTTATAAACGACTTTAATCATCAAACAGTAAATCAATTCTAGTATGAAAATTAATAATGATGAGACATCAAGCAAATTTCAATTTCATCTAATCAAATAGCCAGAACCATTTACAATGTGAATTAATATTTCCCCAATTACAGCTCATATTCGTCATACACCTTACACCATACACTATGCAACATACATTTTTAAAGGGAAAGTAAACGTTCAACAGCTGTTATCAAATACATGTATATGAATATATTTTTTAAAAATCTTATGCATAACTGCTGTCATTCCTGGATAATGTATTTGGCTTTAACAATATGATGTCTTCAAAACTATGCAAAGAACCACTGATTGTACTGATTGTAGATCTGTTTTCTGAAAAGAAATAAACAGTGCATGAGTGTTTTGCTAAAAAAAGAAAATTTGTCAAATATATTGAAAAATGAAGCCCTGAAATTTTTCACACGACACATCCTTCATTGAAATAAGAACTTGTAAAACAGTAAAAACCTTAATTAAAAAAACACAACTTCTAAAACTTGAGTATGGACAGGTTCAAACAAGTTTGAGCAATAAAATATATAAACTTGTTTAATGAGATTTCTAGTTTATTCGTCTTTACTTTCTCGGAGTAAGTACACTACAAAAGCTAATTTTTTATGAGTACCAACTGAGTATTTGATAAATCGCATGTAGCGAGCATGAAGAGGGTAAATTCAAGAAATAAACGTTTTGCAAACAGAAATCCCTTTACAGACGGATTAACGTTGTCGACGAATTATTACACGAAAGATTGTGTAAACAAGGCACTTTCTCTTACTGTTCGACTATTTCAGAATAATGTTCTTATCTAAAAAGCCGGAATTTCGTTCATATACATCGTGGTTATTATATTAAGATTTTAAGTACCGTTTACAAGTTACACTATACAGATAATGGCTCATTGCTAGATAATCTATATTTTGGTGACTATATCGAACTTCCATTTCCGAGTTTTTATTCTGTGTATCAACGATCTAGGAGTGTCTTCATATTGAGTAAATAACTCTAGATTGAAACGATATTGATACAAGGTTTTCCAAGTTGCAAAAATGAAGTCATCCCTTTGAAAACTTCACAGACACCATCACAAATGTGTTGATCGTTATGAAATATTTATGTATGAAATAACTATGAATATGATCCAATTGTCGTGACCATTATCCCGGCCACCTCCTCTCAATTCAGACTTCGTCAACTGAGATGCACCATGAGAAAAACGACGAGTGCAACATGTGGAGAACCTGTAACTATTGTGTATGGAAAGAGACGGAAAGTACCGAGGTATATCCGACCCTGCTTCAAAAGTGGCACCTGCTAATTAAGTTTTTCAGTGTTTAAATCTTGATTAAGGTTTCTTAAGCATTCTTCTCTTCCTTTAATAATGACAAAAATACATTTAAAGTTACTTTTAATTTATGTTTAACATACTTTTATATGTCAATACATTAAAGTACACATTTATTTGGTTTTATTGCAACAGTTATAGAATGTATGTAACAGTATTTGACCTATGTTCAAAACTCGCACATCAAATTTGTAAACCAAGATAAAAATAACGGAGCAAAATCAGCATGCTTTTCTATATATTTATCATTTGCAATGCAATCAAAACTTTCATTTTACACAATCTGAAAATTCTGATACTTGGCCAACATGTGTATGAAGGGTAAACGTCTCCTGTAATGTATGCACCAATATTTGAATACATGTAATGTTTAACTGTCGCATCTTGAGTTTTACAACAGACACATCGACATTCAAAGTGTACAGAGTGGATTTTAATTCCTCAAAAATTTTATGTTGACAACCAAATAAACCGTGGTCACAAGCAAATTAATTATATGGGAACATGTATGTAGTTAACAAAGTAACTACAATATGCAAATTTGCAACAATTGTATTACTAGAGACTTGTATTATCAAAACATTATAAAAAAAAAGATAAAAATTTATCCTACATGTTGGCCTCTTCAAACATTACCTCAACTTAAACAATAGACAAAAATAAAGTACAGTTGAAGGTAAACAACATGTATTGCTACATGTACATGAAGGCACAGCGTATGCGTATCATGATTTTTGCGTGCGCTACGACTACTATATATATTTTCCGTGAATACCTGTACATGCGTTTGGTGTTTCAAAATGGACGAAGACGATGACAGTATATTCTTAGTGCAAAAGACGAAGAAAGTGATGTCATCATTCGTGATTGTGTTGTTTCATTCTTTGGATTAATATCGACTGTGTTTTCAGATATATTCGATTTCAATGCGGATTACAAAGAGGATATATAATAGTTATAGCAGCTAATAATGGTAAGTTTTATATATAATATATTCAAAATGTATTCCTCTCCTATCAGACTAGTTCCTTATTTCTTTTTGGATTTAATTCTTATTAGGTGATTGAAAAACATGTGAAGACAGGTTCATGTTGAAGAAAAAGGTTCAACCATATCGAGTGCACCGCAGTCGATTTTATTTCAAATATATAATAAATGAGAACAAATGAAGTTCAAGAGATAACAACGTGCAATCAATTTTAATTTTTTTCGTTGTTCATCGGAATTTTCCCATATTATATAATTTCAATGAAATTGAAGAGAATTATGATCCAAATATCATATCTTTTATTTGTAAGAATAAATTAATATAGTTATAATATCTAATTTCATCGCCACGAAATGTCCGGAGATCAATAAATCGATCAGACTTGTTCACCTACTATGCATGAAAAAATATATGTATTTACATATTTTATCGTATGACAGTATGACGCAGTCCCCCTCTTTCCTTCCTCGTTCACCACAATTTATCTCGGTGGTTGTGTGGCAAGAGACGGTTATTGTTTACCCAAACGGTTACACCTGAATATCCCCCCTTTCTCAGTTTTTATTTTTCTGCAAGGTCGTGTCGCTCTTTTTTCGTATATTTCAGTATTGATGTGCTTTGTGTATTTTTTTATTTTAATGTTACCGAAACATAATTTTGTCTTTCGATTTTCCCTTGCAAAAAACGCTTTCTTATTTTCTTTCATAAAAAAACATTGCAGGTGTACACATCTTTGTTCTGTTCTTAACGTATAATAATTGGCCTTAATCAATTTTACCTCTGAGATCTAAACTAAATTAGTGTCTGAAACTATTTGGAAACTAAATTGGAAAGAAACAATTGAATTCGTATTTTGATGTAACATATAGTAAAAATACTTTTATCAATCCCCCTTTTTCAATCATTTCAATGCAGGAAAGGGTTTTATGTTCAAATTTATATAACACAATCACAAATTGTCTAAAACTTATTTAAACTATATAGTTTTATTATGTATTAACATATGATTAAATCTAGCACCTACGTTTAATTAATTTCAAGAGAGTACAACGGTTTAAAGAAATAATCACTACGTACAAAGTGCGAATCGGGCAGATGGTTTGTTTAACAGATAACCTGCGGTAACGTGTTCCTTTATTCTGCTTCGCACATTCATCGTCGTTGATAAGCGAAGTGTTGCATTATCTTCTTATTCATGCAATAATATTAGGTTTAAATAAAACTTGTAAATCAACGCCGACACCTGAATATTTTAAAAACTATTGTAGTCCCCTAGTTCATGAAGCAAGTTCTCGATTTGCACTTTGTACACAGGGTGAGGTTTAAAGCATTACTTTATTTTTCTATTCTAATTGTAGCTGAAAATGATGTTAGGAAGAATAAGAGCAACACCAGAGGTCGATTTTGATATCCAAAGACGGACGAGGATAAATCTTTTGAAAAAGGAAATACCTAAAAGCAACAGAAACAAGACTTACAACAAGCATTATCAACAAAATTGGTGCTAAACGAGACAACCCAAAACATGAAAAAAATGGTAGTGATACAAGTATTGGTAGTGTTAAAATCAATTTGAAAGTGGTTTTTCTTCTCTCAAGAAACCGTCTAGATGAGTGACAAAATTATTGTATTGGAAGGAGACTTTAATAAAATGTTTTATTGTGTAATTGTCAATTGTTCTTTGGTCGTATCTTTTTTTCGAATGAAGAAAAATATAGTAGGAATTGATTGGGTTTTTTTTCAGTTCTTGAACTATCATTTACCTGTAAGAATCAATTATGCTACCTTCAGCTGTCCAATATTTTTAAGAAAGACGAGGGCTATTCTTAAAAATATTAGACAGCTAAAGGAAACATAATGGTTTCTAACAGGTAAATGACAGTCCGATCACTGACATAAAGAACGGGCACAACAATAGATTGACGTCACAACAATGTTTTGAATTATAATATCATCAAGCCATTTGTAAAAATCAGGTGGAAAAATTCATGGGCCTTAAGATGATGCTGGGTACGACACAGAACGAAATCGGAAAGAAAGTTCAAATATAAGTGCATGTTATGCTGCTATAGATAGTTAAGAGCACTTGTTTGACCTGTGTATAAAACATATTTAACAAGGTATCTTTCAAACTTGTATCAAATTTGAACTTTTTTCTTTTTTCTCAGTTTTTTTATCTTTTTAATTTTTAATTCTATCTGACAATCTCAATTCATATTGCTTAGTGTACCAGATACAATTTTTACTTTTAACTTAAAATTAAGACCATCACTGTTTCTGTAATATATCACTATGTCTGTAGAAGATGCTAGGTATCTTAATAATTCATTAATGTAACATGTCTTTCAATATGCTATATTTCATGTTAAACGTTTACTTTTCATACTTACAGTATAAATAATTTGGAAGCATGTTTTGCATAAAACTGTTCATTACGCTTTGTTTGTTTATCCATCTCATTGCTCTCTCATTGCTTTAATTTGTCTCTTACGGTATTCTGCACTATTTTGTTTTTATTCTTCTAATTCGCAATTCTACCTTATGACGGTAAAATTCTTAGAAAATAATCATTCTAAATTATTATGATTTTAATTGCCTACCATTGTTTCTTGAATACACGACTGTGTCTTGCTTCGGTGAACATTCTAGCGTTGGCGAAGCTAAAAATATCAATTTAGTAATCACAAAAAGATACAAAGATATCATTGTTACATCCCTAAATACAATAAAAAATCAACATAATTAAAAGCCATTTTCTACTAATCATGGTAGTTCTATTTCTGAATTCATTTAATGCTATTTAAATCCTCTTCAGAAAAAAAAGGCATGCTAAGTATTAACATGATCTTCGATTAGTCCACATGCACGTTTTTCCCTCCGAAAACCTTACAGTTTAATCAAGGAATGTCATGTTTTGGACATTAGGTCAAAGTATAGTTATATTAAGATTGAAATGATACAGCTCCTTATACGAGTGGATAATACAAATCCAAAGTTTTAAGAATGTCGTTATTGGTCATATAAACTGAAATGTTTCAATCGAAGGGGGATATGTTGAAAATTGTTGATAGATTAAATCACAGGTTCCTTATGTTTACCAAAATTCTACGACTGCATCATAGTTGAATATAAACCCCATTGAACCTTTGAGAGAGAAAAAGACGTCATTGTCATGAATACCGGCGATAGTAGTTCACCAGCGTCATCAGCTTCGTCATCATCTCGTAAATGTAATGAAAAGAAATAAACCAAGGTAGCAAACAAACTTAAACAGCATGATTCGCGTGAAAATAAGCGAGAACAGATACGAATACGTTTACAGGGTAAATGTCTTCTTCTTTGCATGCATGACCCGCTATTGGAATAATTTACACATTTCGTAATGGGACACAATAGGACAAAATTACAGATCGGACGACTGTATTGCTATCAAAAGATCTAAGTTTGCTAAAACTTGTCGCTCATTAATACATCGTATCAGTAAGTCAATTGGTTTTAGTGACTGAAGAACTTATGTAGTGTCGGGTTCAGTCGTCTTTTCTCAACACTTAATTACGAACAAAACAGTTATACCTAAATCATGAATCATTTACTTTATTTATGTATTTATGTATATATGTATTTATTTATTAATTAATTAATATATTTATTTATTAATGTATTTATTTATTTATTTATTTATTTATTTATTTTTATTTTTTTTTTATTTATCTATATATTCATTTATTTACTTTATTAGTCGATAATCATTCATTCACGTACTTAGATAAAATAAGTGTTTGGAGGTCAACAGAACAATTTATTAAACTGAGATATGATTGATTGAATTTGAATAATTGTGCTGTAATATTATACTGCGCTACGATGGCAGTATAAGACATCGAGTACCAAGTCGACTTGCATGAGTCGGAATATAATGATGTGTATATTGAGAACATATTTTAAGGAAGTTCTACTCAGACAAAGCATAGTAATAATGCATAATTGTAGGTGTAACATGTCGAATAAAACAACGCGGGGTGTCAGGATTGACAAAATGGAAGACTGGAAGTAGAAAGTTCAAACTTCGAGTAATCCTGGCAACTCTAGGTGTTATATACGATAGGACAAATCTAAAAAACTGAGTTATCTGCCTTAATTATTGTAAAATAAATATAATTTTGTGCAAATATGTTCATGCTTTTCTATCCTATTTCATGGATCACGTTGATATGGGAAATTTCTTAAGGTGTGAGAATGACAAATGGCTCAATTTCAAGGTACAATAAAGTTCATTAATCTAGTAATATAAGGTAGTAATCACTGTCCAGTTGAATTCATTATAATTGCTACTGTTTATGCATTTGAAGACCCGGAAGGAAGAAAGTAAATGACTGAATTCTTACGGTGTATGAAAATAACTTGTCAAAGGATTGATTTGTTGGTAATATATGACACTTTATAAAGTAGAGGGGGTGCTATGTTTTTTATTCAGGTTTCACGACATATGTATCGCTGAAAAGCTGTTCATTTTGCCAAAAACCTCAAAAATGATATCAATTAAGAACAAATAATACTAAATAATTAATCATGAATATCAACAAAGATATAGAATATACAAGAAAAATGAAAAAAAAATATAATAAGAATGATTTAAAAAAATAGATAGGTAAAATTGAATTTTCTATGATGATTAATGAAATCAATTTAAGAAGACGAAATCTTAGTAAATAGCTGCCCATATATTTCTGATTGAAAAATAGAAATGTCACGACTTGTTTATGATAGAACTGTCCGAAACTATTCTATGGTCGAACTGTCGAAATTTCAGACGTTATAAATCAGGTTAGAGTCGCTTCTGTCATGAAGAGGTCAAGAGAATCTTTTAGGACACTTCTCCTGACAGTTTCAGACAGAACTTAAGAAATGTTAGAAACTTGTCATTGTATCTATAGATTGTAAAAACATTCATGATAACGAGTAATAATAATGCAATGAATAAATTTTTACACAATGAAAGAATACTCATTATCTTATATTTTAACATACATTGATTCCATTTTCTTGGAGCGTTGTGGGAAGTCATTGGTTGCGGAAAACCAGCTACAAATACAGTAAAAATTACATCTTAATTGCTTGATTATATGTGGGTAACAGTACTATCTATGTCCACCAATTAAAATGTGATTTAACTGCAATATTCTATTATGAAGTGAAACAAATCTTCAAAACATGTGAATACACGGAACATTCGGATTGTACTTCATTGTTGTAAAACTAATCTATCATACTGTTTCATAATATCTGTAGTTGGTAAAACTTTTCGGAATGTTGATTACTCGATGTTCTACAATTTTGTACTTTATATGGCCTTTTAAACATGTTTTCTTCGACCGTGACTGATGTAGACAACACGCTCGTCTTGCGTACAAAGTTGTTATCCTGTTATTCATAATGAGTTTATTTATATATATTATCTTATCAAATCCTATGTATGATTTTAAGAACACATTGAAAACAAAATATAAAGAGCTATCTACCTAATTTTGCCAAATCGTCTACTGTTGAAGAATTCTTTTTCTGCTCTAGATTAGAAAAATAAAAGAGATATAAGTTAGGTATGATAACATAAAGTGTGTTATGCATTTCAAATCAAAACAACCCACAAAATTAATAACATAAATAAAATAATTATAGTTTTGCAAGGAAAGATATAGGTTATGGATTTGCCTCATTAAGGAAGCAGATAGAATGATCTATATTTGTTTACATCCTTGTCTTTTGTATCTGGTAAATACTTGTTGAATCAGAACCTATATCTTATTCTTTAAAAGCTTAAGAACATTTGGCTAGTTCATTTTTCATTTCATTTTGTATTACTGATATCAAATATTAATTTTTTATCAGATCTTTATACATTGTCACAGTGGAAACGACAAAATGTTAATTGCAGTTACAACATATATGTATAATATCTTTTACCACTTTGGAGTTTTATTACTAGTTGAAACTAGTATATTTATGATTACAGGTAAAATATGATTCATACTTTTCACTCTTGTTTCGTTGTAATTCATTATTCTGTTATTGCTATCTAATTTTACTTAAGAACGTCCAACATGTTCAAATGTCGAACGTTATCATCTGTCTGTAGTATATAAATGAGTATAAATAACACCCAAAAGAAAATAAATCATCTGACAATTGAAAGAACAACATGAAAAACCAAGACATAATAAACTACAGAAGCAAATTATTAATGAGATGGAAATCTAGTTTTTTAGGAGGTATTGACAACCAAACGCTTTAACAGTATTATTTTTATCTTAATTCAAATCAGCACACGTGGTCAAGTGATATGCTTCATTGCGTGAAGAAATTATCAAATTCATAATGTGAAACTCGTTTCTGAGTAGATTAAAACTCATAAGTAAAAAGTATAAAAGTTACAGTATTAGTTAACTAAAGTTAACACAGTGGTCAATTGATTATCAAAAAATAATCTACAATTTAAACAATAGACCGACATCAGAGAAATAGGTTTACGATTTGAGAGTGAATGCCGGCTTGATTTCATGCAATCAGTTTTAGTATTTTTAGCTTCTGTTTCCGCGATGTACAGTTGCTGTTATTATCTATCATTTACTGATGGTTAGTTTATCTTTTTTATCAAACACGGACAATTCATAGCTTGAATAACTGACTAGACAGGCGGCTGTCAAGTATCAGGTGATAATTGAGTTCATAAAACATTAACAATAACAACTATAGTGTGTGATATCATTTTTTAAGGGTCATCGATGTTTGCTATACCAGGGTTCACTTTAACCTACTTTATGACTATACCACTACCCCAATCGGAATGAATTTTTTCAGTCATTTAAGAAATGATTTCGCTCTGTATCCATGTATCATTTGTGAAACATTAACTGTTTTAAAAGGGTCTTTTGTTTTAGAAAGTCAATAACTATGTAGACTTTTGACGCCCAAACTTTCTTTTGCCTTAAATACGAAAATAAAAGATCCGAAAACATTACCAATACAGAACGACATGTTTTTGAAATTATAGCAAAACTTTTGGTTGACACAATTATTCGTTATTGCAAAAAATAAACTTCGAAGATCTGTCATTTTTCCCCTACTTATTTTACCCCTATTACTAATTATGATGTGGACTGGTCATTCTTATTGAATCTTATACAATTTGATTGGAAAAAGTTATTATTAGGGTTTTTTTCATGCACGGATATTGATGAAATCAGGACATGCATGAATTACTTAAATGACCTTCAAACTGGACGTGTCGATATTATTTTTTATCAATGAAACTGTAGGTATAAAAAGGTAAAAATTGCAACTTCTTATATTTGCACAAAATTTTCCATATATAGAGTAGATGAATTATTTTTGAATAGCCCCATACCGGAGAAAGAAAAAAAGATTATAAATCAAACGTTTCATTACATTAAGCAAGTCATTATTCGAAGAAAATTGCCGAAACACATTTTACGCACGGCTACGCCAGGTAAAATTATTGTTTATTAACAAACAGAATTTCTTTGAGTCTACTTATAATTAATCCCAAAACGCAAGTAGTCAGTAAATAAAGTCAAAATACGTTCGATCTGCCTGTTTTGGGACATAAAAATTCAATAAGGTCAATTTCGTCTATCTCACAAAATCAGCTATTTTAAATATGTTTTCACATTTTTTCAATCTACATTTACCTGATTTTCTATTGCAATATATTTTCCTGCAGATTATTGACAGTACAATCACGAACAATAGGCACAACAGAAATGACACAGCACCAACAATGATCAATGGCACTAAAAAAAATCAAAAATATATTTATGACCTTGTTTGCACTGGAATGTGTGTCTTCAGTTCTATATCGTATTTAATGTGAAGCATATGAGATAATTTACGATCTGGAACTAAACAACACATGTGACAGCATTGAGATATTTCATCAAATAGTATCAGTTCTTCGTAAAACATCATTTTTGCTTGTACTATGAGCTTGTAATGCTGTTCCAACAACGTAATTCTAATAACTAAATTAATATTGAGTTTGTTTTTTTTTCTGAAACCGATTCAAGTCACGTGGATTAACTTAAGACTAGGTACTTAATAGACGTTGTAAAACATTGAAGACTGTTGCAACGAGCTGAAAGACTAGTCAGCTAGAAAACGTTTTTTCAATCTTGGTTGTTTGGTGGCATTGGTGTACTTAATATTATTATTTCTGCAGTTATATTAGGTATTCATTACTTCTCTGTTATCTTGAAATCAACAATCATTGTAGAAAAATTACTGGTAATATACAAACAAGTGTACGGTGTTCCTGTTGCAGTATTGAACGAAAGATATTTTTTTATATTACTGTTTATGCTACCGTTCAATTCAATTCAATTAGTGCGGTTCGCGTTTATTATTTTTGTTTTTTTCTACAAGTAAAAAACAAATGCAGAAATTCGACATATTTACAAAGGCGTACATCAGTACTCTGTGAATGCTAGGAATTCCTTTACAATAGAAATGCGACAAAAAGCATTAATTTCCGGGAGTGAACAATGAAATTAAATATGATAAATTATATATTCAGATTTGGCGAATTAAACAAAATTATGTAAAAGTGCAAAGGTTATTTTTGCTAAAACTAGAAATTAAAGAAATAACCTTCAAGGCTTCCTCTGACTCATTTTAGACTTATGCCTTGAATTTGGCATAATCGGTCATCTCAGTACCAGTATCTAAGACACATGAGATGATTCTAATTTGCAAATTATCAATTTCTCCCACCTTAGTAATAATATACCAACTGGGATCCCGCTAACATGTTTAACACCGCCCCATTCTGTATGTATGTGCCCGTCCTAAGTCAGAAGCCTGTAGTTCAGTGGTTGTCGTTTGTTGCGGTGTTACATATTTTTTTTTGTTCATTTTTTGTACATTAATTAGGCCGTTAGTTTTCTCGTTTGAATTGTTTTACATTTGTGATTTCGGGGCCTTTTATAGATGACTATGCGGTATGGTCTTTGTTCATTGCTGAAGTCCGTACGGTGATCTATAGCTGTTTATTTCTGTGTCATTTGGTCTCTTGTGGAGAGTTGTCTCATTAGTAATCATACCACATCTTCTTTTTTATATTCATCTGCATATGGGATATACATTTCCTAACTCATTCGGTTTTCTAGACCTCGCAGCTGCTATTCAGACTTTATAATACGTCACTAGTGTTTGAGCAAAGAATTGATGAACCAGGGCTATTTCAAAGAACGTCTCGGCCTTTTCCCTAAAAACAAAGTCTTCGTGAAGATACCAAGACCGTGTTTATAAGTATTCCGTATCAACTTTACAAATAATACACGATGGTCTTAAAGTATAGATTCTAGGTACTGACGTTGTTTATCATCTTAATTAAGTGTTTCAGTGTTCTTTTATTTGTCTTTGTTAATTATTTCCTTTACTGTTTAGTCTAATTTTAGTAATATCCTTTTGACTTGGCTCGGTTCCTATACATCCCGTCATTATGCTATTGTTCTATGGTAAATGTTCGTATTCTTGTCTTTCATTTTTTCGTATGTGTCTATATGCCTTTGTTTTTCTTTGTTGACATATTTTTTTTAATTTTAAAGTGATTAAGATTTTAACACCATGTTGGCTGCTGTTCTCCTATTGTTGACATTTTTACCTTTTATTATATATAAGAAGATGTAGTATGAGTGCTAATGAGACAACTCTCCATCCAAATCACAATTTGCAAAAGTAAACCATTGTCTGTTTATTTTGTTCACACATTATTTTCAATATAATGGAATTCCTTGCGACTGTCATACAAGTGAGAGGTTAAGCTTGCTATAAAACCAGGTTTAATCCACCTTTTTCTACATAAGAAAATGCCTGTACCCGGTCAGGAATATTACAGTTGTTATCCATTTGAAGCCTTTGAGTTTTTAATGTTGTCATTTGATTAGGGATTTTCTGTTTTGAAATTTCCTCGGAGTTTGGTTTTTTTGTTGTTTTACTTTTTGCAGGATATCAAAAATATGTGTTCAACTTACCAAAATGTAAATTAGTATGTTCATGTAACGATGCAAGAGAAAAGCTCGGTGAGTTTAGCATTTTGTCCTGTTTCTTTAAGCTCGTACGAATAAATTTTATATTGTCCGACCATAATATATGGTCAAATACCTATATATGTATAATATAAATATATAATATTTAATACCTGAAAAATATGCAATCGTAGTAATTTCCGGAGAGAGAGTAGTTGCTTGCTGTGGTGGACTCACTATATTACTAGGAACAACAATCTTCTTGAAAATAGTCGAACCTTTGATCACAAAAGAAATTGAATAATTTCAGAATATTATCGATCCATGACTCTAAAATATTTAGTTTCACATAATTAAAGCATGAGAATGTTTTAACGAGCTTCATATGGGAAGAAACACCTACTTGAAAATATACACTTGTAAACCAATTGAAATCTGAAACGTTCATTTTGATCGTGACATCATCTTAAAAGTGTGAACAGTACATTCAGTTTTTTTTAGTTTTTAGACTTATTCACTGCAGTAAATTCATTGATGTTCAGACAATTCGCTAGTAGTTCATAAAATACTGTTCAGTTGTTTTTCAGACAATTCAGTACGATGTTAGTGAAAAGAAGTAAATAACAAATACTGAAAAGTCTGAACATAGTCTGAAGAGATCTTCATTGACTTCATAGTACTTAAGTTTACCGCAGTGGAAAGATCTGAAAATTTATTGAAAGACTTAAATAAATAACTTAGATCAAAATGTATTGCTTTCATGCAAGATGTCTGTAAAGCTTTCAGTGTATTGATTGTTCTGAATATTGAAATAAGGAAATGAGGTATGATTGCCAATGAAACAGCTATTCATTAATGTTGCAATGAAGACGGTATACGTAATTATGGTTAACCTACATACCACATAGTCAGCTAGTACTAAAAAGACAGTAACAACCATGAGAAACGAAAAAAACACATTGATGCTGGAACAAAACATTTATAGCTTAGCTTTAAAATATTAAACATATTTCCTATCACCTCTAGTCGACACTTGATCTTTATGTTGATATATTAAAGATTATGATTTTAATTTGTGTGGTGACTAACATTGTCAGCATGTTTATTTAGCAAAAGAAGAATCAGTGTGATATCAGTTCAAGGTTTTGGAATTGGCTGAAATATTATAACCGTTTACTGACAATGTATGTATAAACTTCAGCTTTTAGGCTTGTCATTTTTTGCCGTGTAACATATTTGTTTTTCAATTATTATTTTGTACATAAATTAGACTGTTAATTTTGTCGTGTGAATTGTTTTACATTTTACATCACGGGACCTTTTATAGCTGGCTATGCGGTATCGGCTGTGCTAATTGTTGAAGGCCGTACGTGACCTATTGTTGTAAATGTCTGTGTTATGTTGTCTGTTGTGGAGAGTTGTCTCATTGGCAATCATATCACATCTTCTTATTTTCATATTTTCTGTAAAAATCATTGTGTGAAAGAACCACAGCAAATAATCATCATTGACATAAGAACACTCTGGTATTTTTTTACTGGTAATATGAACCTTATAATACGCATTATAATAACATTAGAAATTTTCAATGACAATAATATCAAGTCAAATACCGATATTTGAATTTGTTTATCAATCAACTAAAGTACTTTGATGTGTGGATTAGATGTCGATGCATTGTTACGTGTTTCTGATTTTACATATCCTAATAAATATAATGTAATTAAAATGAATATTAAACCTTACCACCATTGCCATCTTGTATGACTGATATATTTGCCGAGTAATGGACTCCTTCGTTTTCAATTCTTGATGCACAACTATATATATAGTTCATCATATCTTGTGTTACTGTTACGTTCAATGTGAATGACTTGCAGTCTCCAGAACACGTGCATACTTTGGGAGAGCATATCCACATTGTATGATAACAGTTGTTGTCAAAATATCGCATATTATCGTGTGTCTTGTTATCTATAAGGAACTCAACGGTACATAGCTGAACCGCAATGTTCGTTGAACAACTTAATTGTAAAACCTTTGAATCATTGTTTGCTATAAGCCTTCCTTCGAGATTTATGTCAGGTGCTAAAGCTAAAAAAAGAAACGAGAAAGTTTAGACAAAATTAATATGATCGATCCTCGTTTTATACATCATAAACATTTGTATTAATTGATAATATTTAGATGGGGCCGACAAACTTCCTCGAGTTTGCAAGACCAATAAGTTGTAGATAATTACAATAACACTGGCACGTGTGCCAATAGTTATAAGTGATCATTTTCCATCTCAAGCCAGTAACATAATATAAACAATTGTCACAAAAAAGACAACAGGAAAATACACAAAATAGTGTTAATACTTATAGGTGTGCGGACAACACATTAATTCTCGCATTTATGAGTAAATTATCAGTGTTGTTGGTCACAAGTTGAATATTTTTCTATACTTGAATACTTTGATTAGTTAGTCTTTTTATAACATTGACAATGGGCTTTTTAAATGAAATTAAAGTAGAAAATATAAGCAACTATATCTTTTTCTACGTATTCACAATTTGTTTTGATGGGACGTCATCGACGACGTCTTGATATCATCTATTGTTGTATTGACGTCAGAGGAGTGAAATAACCCGGAGTTTATTTCACATGTGAAATTATCGGTTTTGATTACATTTGAAAATCACGATAATTCATTGCAATCAATGTATTACTGATAGTTATAACAAAACTAATCACTAAGAACCACAGTTCTTTACAAAGTCACAATTGTATTTTTAAACAATTTGTGATAAGAAAACCTCTTTTAAATTAGTTGATTGAGCTGATCTTATAACTGCGCATGGATAATAGCAGTATTTATTGTAGAAATACTAAACGTTTTGATGTTACTACAAAAGAGGGGGATTCAAAGTTTTGCAAAAAATCTTTAGAATGTTTTTGCCTCTTCACAATATTTACGGAATGTCGTCTTTTACTGCAGAAGATTTAGTAGTAAAGATATGTTTAGTCAAACATTCTGACTACACTGCAATATATCTTTCTCTAGGCCTATTTGCTCACCGTTCAATACTTAAAAGCAATCAGTTTTAAGAAAACTGTGTATATGTATTAAGTGTATTAATAAAAAATAAGTTCCTTCCGTGTAAATGTAAACGCATAAGCATCGTACTGATTTCTTTCTATTTAGTTTAACATTTTATTATAAATGTTACTAAACATGTATGCCATCGTCATTTTGTACTTCATTTTACAATATCTTCCTACATTTGTTTACCTCAACTATTGTATTTGTATTTTTTTTGTATGTTTCTCTGTAAACTTGTATCTAGTTTTTAGAGAATAAAGTATCTATCTGTCTATGAATTTTTAAAAAACAGCTATTAAGAAAAAGTGTCCTCAATGCTCTTTAACTTTGTACTTGTTTGGCTTTATAACTATTTTGATCTGAGCGTCACTGATGAGTCTTATGTAGACGAAACGCGCGTCGTCTTGCGTATTAAATTATTATCCTGGTACCTTTGATATCTATTTATACCACTGGGTCGATGCCGCTGCTGGTGGACGTTTCGTCCCCGAGGGTATCACCAGCCCAATAGTCAGCACTTCAGTATTGACATGAATATCAATAATATGGTCATTTTTATACATTTCCTGTTACAAAACTTTGAATTTTTCGGAAAACTAAGGAATTTCTTTTCCCAGGAATAGTTTACCTTAGCCGTATTTGGCACAACTTTTTGGAATTTTGGGTCCTCAATGCTCTTCAACTTTGTACTTGTTTGGCTTTATAACTATTTTGATCTGAGCGTCACTAATGAGTCTTATGTAGACGAAACGCGAGTCGTCTGGCGTATTAAATTATACTCCTGGTACTTTTGATAACTATTCAAGTAAATTCATCCTTTCAAATATTTTACAGGTGACGAGGAATATGTTTAAATTGTGGCAACTACTAAACCATCTTCTGTTACTCGAATGTGTCATCGCTTTATTAGATTTCTCAACGAATTATACTTATGTAATCAATATGAAAGTTGCAACATGTTAAGTAGAATAATTTGGCCTTACAGAGCACGGAAAATAACTGCTAGTTTTTCTTTGCCGTTTTAGAATATTCTGATATTTTCACCGAATTTTTATGATGATAACAAAAAACAATATAGTTGTCGTTTGGCGGTTTCAAAGCATCCAAACCAAGAAAGGGTTAGGAACCCGTGTGCTTATTGTACGTCACAGGTTTTGAATGAGCTTCAACTGCATGAAATGAATAGAAAAACTGTCAAGTTTTTATTTAACTGGCTCTCTAAGTCGTATAAATTGCAAAGTGCCCGGTAATAACATGACTAGCAGGACTTCATTTCTATTAGTGATGAACAAAGTAAATCGGAAACTTTAACTTCATTGAGGATCTTTCCAACAATAGTAAAAATTCAAATTTATATTATTTTCAAAAAAATATATATCTTTACAAAATTAACGAAACAATGCATCTATGCAATTTGCCCCCAGCTTTCTTAAACATCAACAAAAGTGAGTTAAGATTGTGGCATTGTGTATATAGTGCAAAACAGAGTGTAAAATTGCAAATATTGGGGGAAAAAGGGGGGGTTGTTAACATTCCATTCATTTTGCTAATAAAGAAATGGATTTTCAAATATATTTATGCATCTAGCATCATCGAAGATACATTTATCGTTGAAATGCGCATCTGGTGCAGAAATATTGGTTACAATTATATTATTGGTGCCTTTCCAATGCCCTTTTTGATGTTTTGTTCTTATCTTTTGTGTAATACTCACCACATTCCACAATTAGAAAGTACATTTCTGTCGTTAACAGAATTAAATATGTATTCTTCATTTTAATCTGTAACTTCAAATAGAAATAAGTTAACGTTAATTTGTAATACTGTGGATTCATATATTTTCGTTGATATTAATTTTCGTGCATTGAAGAAAAAATGTAGTTTCGTGTGTATTTAATTTCGTGGTTTTTCCAAAATCTACAAACAAACCTATAGAAAATGTGTACTTCGTTGAACATCCACTTAATCCACGAAATTTGGTACCCCACAAATAATTATGAATCCACAGTAGATAAGGTGACTACTAATTATGATCAGTCATCAACACTAAACTCCTAAGGTAATTAAACATTTAGATATCACTGATGCATGTGGTATGTAGGTATGCGCCATGTGAATACACGGATAAGACGTCTGTACAATGTATAGAGATAAGATGTATTCCATAAAAGTAGTGCATAAATCTTACACTTGAGTTAATATGGAAAACACAAAGACAAAAATGAGAAATAGTATTTCTTTTAAAAATATATACTGAAATTAAAAACCCCGACATAAAAAAATGTGAATACAAACCAGAAAACTAACGGCCTTATTCATGACAGCAAACACATATGATATTCATGAACCAACGACGACCACTGAACCATAGGCTCTTGATTAGGAAAAGGCACATTAAGAATATGGCGGGGTTAAACATGTTTGTGAGTGTCAAACCTCCATTAACCTGGGACAGTGGTATAACAGCGCAACATAAGAAAAGATTGTAAAATTCGTTTGCAATTGGCTTCACACAAAAGATCAGTACGAGGCACAAAAATAACTAACATAAAGAAAGAAGATAGACACACAACACCGAAATAAGACCAGTAGCAGTTACTGAAAGTTAGTTCAAAGCCAATAACAACTTTTAGATAAATCATGTTCTCCCAGACTAAAGTATCAATCAGTACACATCCAACAGATCTAGTGTAAAGACGTCATAAACAATATGAGAATCGCCTGATCTTGTGTTATGCCAAAATATAAGAAAAAGTATCTACAGAATGGAGAATCATGGGTTATCATAAGTTAACATGCATGTATCAAGCCAATATGTCTAGTTTAGTTTTGAAATGCAAAATCACTGTAAGTACCGAAAAAAAGAATATTTAAAGATTTTACTAGCAACTGTGTTAAATTGATAACCATAAGAATCAGTTAATTCAAACAATCGATTGCTTCCATGGGTTGTATTCTGATGTACTGGCTTTATAAACAACATTGCCGTAAACATTAGGATGTATTCTGTTTTAAATTAGAACACAGCCTAACTTCCTAACCAAATATTTTTTTCTATAAGAGAATTTGGTAAAGGTTTTAATCAATTAGTGGTAATGAAATCATTCACTTCATTATTTACCGGTTATCCAGAAATTGATACAGACACGGGCATAGCAAACACGTTGTGAATATTTACACCGTGTTTAGGGGATGAAACGTAATTAATACTGCGCCAGGCATGTCACTTTGTAATGGAAATAATAATAATGCACGTAATCTATGTTAAAGTTGTAATCTGATTTTACTAGACCCGACGCATTTCTCAATTTATGTTCAAAGCTGTTCGAGGTCAACATATTGAAAACTGACACATTAAAAAAACGTTCAGTTTTTGTTATAACCAAAAAGAAAACAAATATTGCTTAATCGGGAACAAAACATTACCGAATTATGACGGCAATGATGTCGTTTCAACAACCGGTCCGGTCAGGCTTAAGATTTCAACATTGGAATTTGCTGCGTCTCCTCTACACATGTTTCATTTAGAAGAAGAGAAAGTGCTGGTCTGTCCCAATCTGAATAATGTGTTAAGAAATGATGTCAAGTCTTCCTGCACACTTTTATATTGTGAACCAGTACATTAAAATAGGGATAGTGTCTGTTGAGTGCAAAGTAGGGTTTAATACTGATTAAATATTAACATGTTTTTGTCCTAAATATGTGTTTATTCTGTCACTAAACATTAAACAACCATCCATGCATCCTGCCGATAAATCTATTTATGCATTTGACAATGATTTGCTTTTCTCAGACACATATGATGTCTTTACAACCAATGTTCACCATTGCATTTTTTATTAATTCATATTCTATTTTGGGATAAATTACTCATCATCAATTAATTGAAATTGGTTTTGAACTAGCTTTGCGAGTACACTTTTAATGATACTTTGATATTGTTCCTGTGGTTATTTGTTATACCCGTTCTTCCATGTTAGCGGGTGAGTTAAGCCCATCCTGACAAAATTGTATATGTCTGTCCAAAATCATGAGCCTGCAATCCATAGGTTGTCGTTGTTTGCTGTCTGTCATATTGGCTTTTCGTTAACTTTTTTGTTCATTAATCAGGACGTTAGTTTTCTAGTCTCAAAACAACACGAAAAAAAAAACGGTAAAAATCAGTTAAAAAAGGCATTACTCATCCGATCAATCAAGGACGACGAAATTCTCTTATCACGATTGAAACAAGTAGTGACAAGTCGATAAACAATACAAGAATCGAAGTAATAAGGCAATATGAAACGCATGAATATTTACATAAAGGATTTTTAAATTGTAAAACATAACGCACTATAGAATATTTATTACGTACAATATCTTTTTTCAATCTTATTCATAAAATGTCAAATGTATTATAAAGATTTAATAACAATCTTTAAATGCTTCGTCATTTTCATTACACCAACTAAAAACTATAGGTAAAAGTGTATGTTCAATATAAGATACCATTTTAAAAAAACATATAGTATGAAAATCTATAGTCATCAACATGGACATTTAAATGATTTTAATGTATGGTTGGGATATATCTTCGGATAATGATTAATAATGTTTAAAGTTACTGTCTAGATATAAAATGAGATTTATAGTATTATAGCCTTTGAAGCTTGTGTTATCCCGCTATAAAAATGATCAAACTCCTTTAATAGAAATAAATATTTTACAATTGGTTAAAGCTTTTCATCATTCTGTGATATATTTTGAATTCAGCAACATACATTTTACTAATATTCTTTTTTTGTAAATCTTCAAATATACTCATAACTTACATATTTGTGTAGTAGGTATATTAGCTTATAACGATAAACTGTGATCTCACAGGCAAATATCCAGGTTCATCCCTTAAATATAAACAATACATAATATATTTCTTTTTTTTTTCTTTTCTATTGCATGAAGTAAGAGGTTCATATGTGACATAACGAGATAATCCATAACGGCGAACCAACTAAATGTATCATTTTTTTATTGGAAATCTTACATGCAATGAGCATTACATTTGCAAAGTTTTTTATTAACATTTAAAATGTCAAATGCCAGCACCTGATTGATCCTGTTTTTCGTTACCACACAATAAGAGTCATCCTGGTCATACTAAACGGGATCTTAAAAAAATTCACGATCATTGTTAATTATATAAATCTTATATATTTGTGGTGATGTAGTTTATTGTAATTACACTTCAAAATATTAATTCATTTTTATTCAGAATGTAATGCTTCTATTTAGAATTTTATTGGAGGGTTACGTGTTGACAGGAGCACTTTTTCTACACAAGTTTTTTTTCTAAATTTTATTACCAAATAATATTACATAACCGAGCTTTCAATTCTTATGACAATTGTATTGTTATAAGCGAGTAATATCAAATCTTCGTTCGATTTACAATAAAAAAATGTATGTGTCCTGTGGGGAAACTTGCAGTTATAGATGATGTATTTTATAAAGAAATAAAACCAAAATGTTTGCAGATAGAGACTAATCAAAACTATGGAATCGGTCGATCAATAATGTACATTTGACATTAATAAAAGATAGTAGATTTTTGAAAAATGAAGCGGAAAGAACTGTTTGTTGAAAAGCTTAATATGAAACAAATGAATACCGGAAGGGACATTTCATTTAACATGTTTTTTTATCCAAGATGACATTTCCCACTTCAAAGCTTACTGCCAACGGCTCGTTACTCATTATATTAAGATTGGATAACTAATCAAGTCTAACTAGTTATACAACCTATAGTTATTGTGTTTAGTACAGAGGGCTACTATTGAGTACATGTCCCTCGATAAACTATTCAAGTACTAAGAAAAAGTAAACGACACGTTTCAAAAATTGAAAGAATGGAAATTGAAAAGATACCCCTGTACATAATAAAATGTTTCTCCGAAGAAAATATTATATTGATATTGATTTTCAATACATTTAAAATGTTTAGAATCAATATCTATGTCAGTTTTATATTGAAATAATATCAACATTCATCTAAATTCAAATACAAATATCTGTATTGAATTAGACAAATTTACTACATCATTAAATGAAATTGCTTAGGCCATAGAGTTCAATCAATCTATTATCAGGGAAGGTATTTACGTTACATGTCCATATAGTATAAATGTATTCTGTGTAATAGTATGTAAGGTAAATTGGCTGGTTTAAAGGTATGATGGGCTTATAAATATTGATTCGATAGAATTTATTTTGACATCTCATTCGAACTCTATTTCTTCATTCAGGATAGAGGATGGCTATCCCAGTAACTGGCCATTTATAGACAACCTTAACGGTTACTTTGTTGTTGCATTCATATGAAAAAAGTTAAATAACAAAAATACCGAACTCCGAGGAAAATTAAAACGGAAAGTCCCTTATCAAATGGCAAAATGAAAAACTCAAAGACATCAAATGGATAACAACAAGAATATTCCTGACTTGGTACAGGCATTTTCTCACACATGTTTTACACATCAAACGAATGAAGCAACATTCACATAACGTACTTTTGAAAGACAATTACTAACACTCGCAAAAACTTCAACGAATTGTTTCATCTCAAATGTCCTTGCGAATTTTAAATTGATACGTTATGTGAGAAAGTTTGACTGAATCTGGATCATTATTACAGGTAATGTTTAGTTACATAGTATCAGATGTTTACTATGTCCATGTTTTCGATGTTTCTACTTTTGACAGTTTGGTGATTATTTTTTATTAGAAATGGATTGACGAGTTGGAATATCAATAAACGATTCTATTTTCTTATCTAACTTATTTTAATTTCCTTTCATCGCTATCTAGAATGCCTGCAACTTGAGAAAACAATTCTGGATTCATGTAAAATATTTTTCAGATATATATTCTTAGTGTTAAATATAATGTTTCTTTCAAATTATTATTATTATTAATTAGGTTTGTCAAGAGATTCTAACAATGTCACTGTGTCTTTTTTTAAATACATATCTCTAAACACGTATGCAATAGCTCTAACAAGCATATACGTATATGTATGACAAGGCCATGTTAAGAGTTTTGAATTCATAACATTCACGAAATGCAAATTACAACAACAAGAATAAAAGTAATTCGATTCAAACACTTAGTACAATATTTTATGTATAGTACTCCCCAATCTCACACCAAAGTACAGATTGACATACATACATGTAGAGTAGAATAAAAAAAACAAGTTATTCTCCAAATGTTTTAGATGTGTCAAGAGATTCTCACAATGTTAATATGATTTTTTTTTAAATATAACTCTCTGAATCCTCATGAAATAGACAGAAAAATATAGGGTATTTACACGACTAGTTCTTGTTAAGAATATTGCATTACCAGTCAAAAAATAAAAATTCTCACACCAAGAATAAAGGCGCTCTACTAATTTTGTTCAAAGAGCAAACAACCACAGAATAGACAAAAATAATATGAAATAAAAACCTTTTGAAATAATATAAAAGCATGCACACTATGAAACTGATTAAACTCGTGAGAATTATTTGAAAATTCTAATAATTACTTGATATTAAGTCGAATCTTAAATCAATGTCATAATTTCATAAATGTTATCGAGTCCATGCAATGTTTATTGTTCATTTTAGACTTTGAAAGTTGGTTATACGTTTTAGTAGGTTATAAATCAAATATGAGAATTGGACACGAATTTGACAGCTAATGCCCCTTTAAGGACTTCTTTGAGTGAGGTTCTTTATTTTTAATATGTCATATATTATGATTTTTGTCATAAGTTATGCGAACATAAATGGAGTATACTTCAATCATCATGTATTGAACATTACTTAAAAAATAGTATTTTTAGGATGTCAATACTAAGTTAGATATAAAGAAAGTAAGGAAGTATTAATTCTTTACTCACAGTATTTTGTGTCTTCTCTTCAACCTTTCCGTACTTCACTTTAGATAAAGTAGATAATTATATAATGTTTCTGTTGTTTGTGGTCTATCTTTATACAATGAACAGTTCACTTCAAAATATCGTTATACCTGATAAAACACAACTGTGTGTTAAAAGTGTTATTTTACTAGTAGGTAAACTACACAATTTTCTTTTGTAAATCTAAATCGATTTTATGACATATAAGTATTTATTTTTAACGTTTGACAAACTGATTGGAGAAGACACTTTAGATCATGATTAAGTTGTGAAACGTATTTTCTGAATAGACGTTATGCTATTATCCATTAGGAGGATGTTTCTATATATATTAGGCATATTAAGTTTATGCATGAAATGTAAGTTTATTCTTTTACTTTAAATTGGTAACTGAAGATCATCATGCAAAGCATTTCGATCAGCATTTCCTGTATATCGTACACCATTTCTAGTACATCATACAAATATTATGAAGATTGATTGATTCAAATGTGCATTGATCTCTGCTAAGAGTTGCATACATATCGAACATTTATCAAAATGATAAAACCATGTTTGAAATGATAAAAAAATGCAATCATTCGTAGAGTTTCTGATAAAAGTCCATAAGAAAACTAAACATGAAGAACTCTTGAAAAAGTGTCTTCAGAACTCCTATTGCAACTTTTTATTTATCGAGCTTCAAGGTATAGTGACCAGATTTCCAATTCCTTTAAAGTAGAAGGTCCGGTAAGGGCCGATTTTGGCCTGAAAATTTAGGTTCATCTGATGAAAGATTTTTGACACTTTTTGAACATTTAAGTGTCTACTGCAGTCGATTCAATTAGTTTATGCGAAAGATTTGAACTGATCTAGTCATTAAAGACGCTCAAATTCAAGCTTAAATATGAAAAATCTATCATATATGCCATAATATGTCACTTTTCAGACGGTTTTTGTCAAAAATGAAAGTGGCCGCATCCGTGTTCATTCTCAACCTTTATATATGTTATGTATTATCATCAAATACAACTTACATTTAAATATCAAGAATGAACACAAATGCGGCCACTTCCATTTTAGACGGAAACCGTCTAAAAATTGACAAAAATGCTAAAATTTCAAAGATTTCAGTAATTTAGCATGACTTAATGATGCTAGTTTCCGATACATGTGCATTGTATTGTCAAAAACAGCCCATATTTATGTAACAGAAGTATTCTTCTTTCCAATAAATAGCTAAAAGTTTACATTTTAACAATTTTGTAAAACTGCTATATTTTGGGGCCTACAAGGGGTCTTAGTGGACCTACTCCTTTAGTGTATTCTATTAGAAATATGTTGTGTTTTAAATGACAGTCATACTATTGTTCATATGACATATGCTATTAACAAAATAATTATGTTTTTTAATACAAATTAATAGTCGTATTTTGTATGTCCATTAAAAAATTTATGTGATATTTTCTGTGCGCAAATGTGGGTCTCAGGTTTCTTTTTCATATCGTTGTTCTTGTTTTATGTTATATACCAAGCTATAATTTCACAGCTGAAGTATGTATTTTTGTAATAAAAAAAAGGAAAACAATAGGAAATTGTGGACAAAATAACGACAACATGTGCTACTTTAAAAGAAATTTCGAGTCTGCAGAAAATAACATTTATCATTTAATCATTGTTTAAAGAGAACTTTGAAAATGAAATTGTAAAAGCTGCTGATAAAATAAGTTCGGGTATTTTTTCGTTTATTGTTTTATGCATAGATCGGGACATTAGTTTCTCTCATTTTTATCGTTGTATTTGTTTTTCAGTCATTGTCTCCTGTAGCGTCCATGTCTGCTTGACATGGGAAGCTAAAAAAGGGAACATAACTTTCAAATGTAAAGTTAGCCAGTTAAAATTTAAAGTTGACTTTTTAAATCCAAAGAACGAAGAACAAGGATACTGTATCAGCCCTATACCAGTCCCAGGGTGTTATTCGTTACATAATGTTATAACGCAGGATCAACAAACAAACACAACTGTCCTTGTAATACAAAGGCATGTAGACAACAGACTCAATGGACCTTGGAAATGTTATCATGGTACAAACGTAGATGCGGCAATTGTTAATGTTACAGTCATACAACAAGGTAATATTCATTCCCCTGTTCAATCAATACAAAGAGAAAATATTCGAATTCTTTCACTTAACATGGCGTTGTCAGTTTGTTTTTTATCTATGAATTTGACTGTCCCTCTGGTATCTTTCGTCCCTCTTTTGTCGTCAACTTTTCAAATACAGACATTCAGTTGGTTAAGGTTATATATGAATCTGTAAATTATTCAATTATCACATTTTTCAGTTTTTCCGTTATTTAATTATATATTTCACTTCAATATTCTTATGTTTTTTCCAAAACAAAATTTCCATTTCACTATTTGTCGTGAAAGTGTTGCTGTTGAGACATGAGGTATTTCATGTCTTTGTTTACGAAAATTGATGAAACCTGGTCATACACGTTGTTCATTGTAGCTGTGTAATATGCCTAATATCAAATTCGTACGACCACTTTTTCCATTTAGAGTTATAAGTTCCCCTAAAAGTGAAAAGTGGTAAATTATTTAAAGATAAATATGTGTCGTTCTGACATCTTACTTGTACATATGCCAAGTTAATCATTATTGTATGACTTACACATAGACAAAAAAGGATCAAAGACACTACAATTGAGCCTGGAAATAAAACTGGAATGTATTGATGATAATAACCTTACCCAACAACTGTTATAGTACATACAATCTAAGTCTATTTCTTGCAATAATATAATACATTTTCACTTTACACAAGTATTTTAAACCTGGTACCTTTTGTTAGCTATTATTCGTATGTTTCTCTGTCCTATATGTTCTCCCATTTTTTTGTATTGTAGTCCTGTCATGTAATGTTGTTATTTTAATGCTATATTTAACATTGCCATAAAAGCGGGAGGTTTGGCTAGACACAAAACCAGGTTCAACCCACCATTTTTTTCTTAAAATGTCCTGTACCAAGTCAGGAAAATGGCCATTGTTATATTATAGTTCGTTTCTGTGTGTGTTACATTTTAATGTTGTGTTTCTGTTGTGTCGTAGTTCTCCTCTTATATTTGATGTGTTTCCCTCAGTTTTAGTTTGTAACCCGGATTTGTTTTTTTCTCAATCGATTTATGAATTTCGAACAGCGGTATACTACTGTTGCTTTTATTTGCCATGCAAACCTTAAATACAAAACGAAAAGAATTGGTCCTAGTTTGTTTCATAAAAACCATAATGACAACTGTGGATACATATAACTATTTTAGGAGTGATGCATCATACTGAGTCAAAACCTCTCTGATTCAAACGATTTTTTTTTCTAAAACTGACATTGTCAAGACGCTAGACTTTTTCCTTGGAAAGATACTTGTTACATTTTATAGGCATATTTCTCGACAAGAAATTAGTATTTTCATGGAAACCAAATGTGTTTCTCGGCTTCCGACTTATTACTTTATTCATATGAAACTGACTTCGTACATGATATTCGTATGATGAATATAAAGAAGTCAGCATTATTCTTTATTTGAACGTTCTACTTTGTAGATGGTATCGGCTTACTAAACGGCTTAGATTGTGATGTCTCAGTTTAATGCATCGATACAATTGGTTTTAGATAAAGAATACCACAGATACAGTGAAACCTGGTTGATATATTGACTTACTTTTAAAATTCGACAATAAGGGTCGAAAATAAAACATTACGACGAAAAGGCCATTTTAGTTGCCAGATTCTGAACCTTTTTCTTCTGTGTACCAATATTCTAGTAGCGCTTAAATATTGATAATGTATGTATATCTCCCAGTAATACAATATTCAAGAATTTTTCCTGTCCTTAATGAAGGTTGCTGCTTACATGTACAAGAAAGTTGCTAAAGGAAGCGTCCCAAGTAGTAAAATGAGTCAAACATATGAACATTTACACCGTCACGAGTTCGCTGATAGTTTGTTTTATACATGATGACTGCAATAATCAAATTGCCGTAACCACAATTCCGTATTCCCTTGAATATGAAATCACCTAACGGAACTTATCAAAGAATTGTATTTACTTTGAAGACAAATTAACAACCATATGGCAAAACGAAAAGAAAAAAAACGACAAACAACAGTCTACGTATGCATCCAAAAATACTCAAGCACTTTGAAAGGGTGAGCGGATTTTGCTAAACCTATCACATCCTTCGTGTTGCTGGAGTAAATATGACGATATCGCATATCTTGGACTGATATATTTCATTCAGCTGTTCGATGCATGGCATATATTGAACCTCATGACTAATCTCATGATTTTTTGTAATTAACACTTTCAATCAGGAATAACCTTTTTTGGTCGTTACATTGACTAATATTGATAGTCTAGTTGTTCTTGTAAGTCAATACGGTTTTTGTTTGGTCCACAGCAAATTTGAGCCCACAAGTATGTACACAAGAAATAATTTTTTGGGGAATATCTAGATAATGAGTCGAAAAATCATGTGGTCTAACATTGATAGCTTTGATCTTGGATACTATTGCGTATTTTGGAAAAGGGTGTTGTTAATATCAAAAAGAGGGGCGAAAGAAACCAGAGTGATATTCAAACTCATATGTCGAAAATAAACAGACAACGCCATGGCTAAAAAAAGACATAGACAAATTGACAAACAATAGTTCATAAACCACAGCATAGAAAACTGAAGACTGGGCTAACACGAATCCAACCAAAAAGTCGGGGTGATATCAGGTGCTCCAGAATAATAAACAGATCCTGCTACACATGTAGCACCCGTCTAGTTGCTCATGTTATTACAAAACCCAGTAATTCGGTAGATCACAATTGGGAAAAGGGTACGGGATTGTAGCTACGACATTGGGAAAATATCCGTTATCATCTATGAAACGAATATTCAATAACGGTCAACCAACTTGTGATGGCGTCCGTAAAATTTACGAAGGAATGATTACAACTTCACCACTTGGAACTCTTGGTTTAATAGCTTCCTTGTGAGCAACAGTCCTCTATTAAGTAAATCATGATAGGAAATACCACCCCTGGGATATCTATTCAACTGGGAGATATATACTCCGTATGTAGGCGCTGCTGGAAAGTTGCTACTTAGAAATGGAAATTTCAAAAATGGGCAGCTGAAATCATCTCTTTTGTTATAAAGTTTTGTTTTCAACTGACTCTTATTGTCAATTTCGCGATGTAGGTAAAGATATGAGGCAATTTTAACTGTATCTATTGTATCGTATATCTCAAGTTCGTTAGGATATATTCGTCCAATATAGTCACCAAATTTTGAATTATTCATTGAGGGAATATCATCTATATTCCGAAAGGTAAAGTCTTTCGTCTTATATGAAGTCAGCCTCATATAATTAAAGGAACAAGTCGGCAAGAAGATGGTCATAGTTTGTTCTAATTACAATACCGGTTGTTTGTTAAAAAAGACGTCTTCTAAACGTAACAAATATGTTATCAATCACAAAATCTGTTCTTTGAATCAGAATGATTCTTTAATAAGTACGATTTTTCCCACCCAAAGACAATATACTTATATCCACGTTGGCCATTCTTTTTTTTATGAAACAAAGCAACACCTATGCTTTCAATTTGTCTTTGAAAGGAGAATACTTGTGTAAAGTATAGAAAAGCCAAATGGTTTATTACTATTGAAAGATGAAAATCTTAAACGATGTTATCTGATAACGTTTCTTATTCCATAATTATAATTATGCACCAATAGATAACAATAGCAATAGGTGAAATTAGGCATTAAGCTTAAATTCTAGGCAATAAACTAACGCCTAGGCAGTAAGTCTATTGCCTAAATGATATTAGCATTAGTCTTAAATCATAGGATTTAAGATTAAATCCTGAAAAATGTGTGCAGGCATTAAGCTTAATGCCTAAAATATGAATATGAGTAAATAAAAGACATTTATTCATTTAAATAAAAATACATTTGTTACATAATAACATTATGAGAACTGAAGTTTGAAATGTCATCTAACGGAGATAAAATATCTCCATTCGATCTCTCAATACTACCTTGTGATTGGAGATGTCTCGGCTTCTCATGAATGATAACACGTGCTGGCCACATTAATTTAACACCGATATGACCAAACTTGTGAGTTCCCAACCATTGTCACTTTGCAGTATATGGGGCGCACCAAATATTGTGAAAATATCAGTTAGATTAAAAGCCACCTCTGAGGCGCATTTTGACGTAAGAGCTTTAATGTTACCAAATTTTGTAAGGTGATCTTGGAACACCATAAGAAATTTATAGTTTCCATCTGGGTTTGATTGAAAATCCATCAAATAAAATTGTCCTCTACTGTTAAAGTCTTTGGATAAAATAGGCCTCACTATTACTCCCTTCCCTATATGTTTTTTCTTCATATTACAATTTTCACAAAGTGAAAGAAATAGTATAATAGCATCACGGGAAATATAACCATATCAATTATTCAGCTGTTTAAACATGCGGTCTCTGCCTCCATGACCTGTTTTTTATGTGCATTTTCCAAAATATCATAGAGTTTCTCTAGGAAGACATACATTTTAAAATTTCCCTTATCATTCTCGTTGACTTTAGTTATCAACCTCTCAAAACCTCCAATGGTAAAAATGTCATACCTTTTTAAATTGTAATAATCTCTTGTTGCCTTCTTTTCCGATGATTCCAAAAGTTTAATCTTTGCCAAAAGATCGGGGTACTTTTCTCTAGGGTATGTGTTACTTGTTTTCCCTGATTCGAATTTAGACCGAAAAGATTCAAGAAACTTTTCCTCAATAGACACATGTAAGCTTTTAATGCTATTAATCAAGATAAAGAAGTAAAAAAGACAAGACGGCCTAAGGGTATTTAACAAAGAAAATTTACTGATACAATAAAAAAAACTGGAAAAATGGTGTGAGCAGAAAATCATATCTTAATTTTGTCTACTTTTGACCAGTTCAAACCAACTCGACTAGTGAAGTGTAAACATTTTCAAATAATAATTATTATTATTATGTAGAATATCACCCCCGTTTTTAAACGATACAATCACTTTTTTTTAATCTCTATTATTTTTTGTAATACCACGAAAAATTTTAGTTAATTCAGTTTTGAATATGAAAAATACCAAAAACTTGAAGATCTGTCAAATGAATTTATATCAATATTAGGATAATAATTAAGAAACTTTAAAATGGCAATGTTAAATATAACACTAAAATGACACCATTTCATGACAGGAATACAGTACAAATAAATGCAGGAACATTCAGGACAGAAAAATACACAAGTAAACAATACAATAGTACATTTTGACATGCTAACCACAGAATAAAAACAAACACGTAAATCAACATAGGACAGCACGTAAAACAGCACATTTGAACCACGAACTGTCTTTCACACGACTGGGTCAACGCCACATAAGTGACGTCACAGGTAAATTTCTAAAAAGTGTTGATACTGTTCAAGATCAGGTTTGTAACTATGTCATTTAATGTATTTTATAACAATTACAAGAATATTATTAGAGAATTGTGTTAGATAAATAATTGTATTATCTAGCTATGTCGGTATTTTTTCTATATCAAACTGTTAAACAAATAGATAGTGTACATATAGGAACAGTATAGTAGATAAGCCTAAAACTCATACATTAACCGACAAGGTCTACTGAACAATTGGTACGACTGCATAAGATAAGAAATTTAGAAAGAAGTTTATATTTTGATATACAATGTTCTTTTAGTAATATTCAAGACAGTATTTAAGAATGGTAAGTACTTTAAAGCGTATATTTCTTCACTTTTCCACGTTAAACAATTGCGCAATTGCAAAATGATCTTCCAGGTCATTCTTTACTTTTATCAATGTTTATTTAACGGAAAATTCAGATAACCTTATTTTTCGTGGGTTGTTTTAGGTGTTCATAATTCTATTTTGATTTATTACCGACTGAGTTTGGCTTCAAACAGTTTTGACACGTATGACTGTATGCAAATTGACCCCCCAATCTACACATTTAAGTATGTAAAAAACAAACGACAGCATGTTTTGACAACAAAACAATAGATTGCAGTACATCATTATATGTCTCAGCAAATTAAGAAAATAAGTGTTAACAAAAAAAAAGATGTCGTTAGAGTGTAATAGAAGTTGACAAATTAGGATAAAACATTCATTTTTTTTTTTTATCAATTTTACTAGCATACTTTGTTTTTATGTTCTACAAAATCAATATATAGACAAATATTTCAGAATGTTGAATAAACTGAATTATATAGTTTAGTATAGCATAATGTATATCATGGACATATACTTACTGTTTTGCCTTGAATATATCTCATTTATTTAAAGATAATTGTGGTGAACAACATATGGCATGGACATTCATCGGCGTTATGATAGGTGTGGCTATAGTATTCATTTTGGGGGCAGTTCTCAAAATATGTAAGTGAAATAATCATAACAAGTGCGACATGCAGAGTTAACGACATACTCATCTGTACATTTTAAGGCAAAATTATAGTATCTTTTTATTAACAACATATCTAACTACCTATTCAAAATTACGTCCATGCTTTGAATTCATTTCCTAGATAACTTTAATAATTGTATCTTTATGTAGTAGAATTATTTTTTTGTTTTTCGTATTGTTTCAGTAGTTGAATTAAGATAACTGACGTTTACTGTTTAGTTGTTTGATTCATCATAACATCTAAGTGACTTTTATACGACTTGGCATTGATATAACGTGTTGTTCTCATTTTACATCGCTGGATCGATACCTGTGATGGTGGACTATCATTCCCCTAGGGTATCATCACCTCAGTAGTTAGTACTTCGGTACTGACATGATTTATAACAATCCTTTCTAAAATTTTCCGTTTATAAATTTACAAGTTATAGAGTAATTTAGCTTTCAACTCCCTCAGGCAAAGTTGGCCTTAGATGGATTTGGCTGTTTCATTAGGATATTTTTAGTCATATAGCTCTTCAATTGTTTCGGTTCTTATGAATCATTGGCTTTCAAACATTTGGCTTTCAGCGTTCCTGTTGAAGGTAAATCCAGAAAATCGCTTCGGATGCATGAAATTTATATAACGTGTTGTTTTCATATTCTATGCGACTGTCGTGTTGCTCAGTCATTAGTTTTCTATGTTGTGTTTTATTGTTGTTTATCGTTTTCTTGTATTGCCATGGCGTTATCTGAGTTGTGATGCTATAAACTGGCTGTTTTCTGTTGATTCAGTCTTTATCATTACAATTATCGTAAATATTTCAAATGTACAACGCGTTCTTACTCTTTATCTCCATTTTTCTGTTGTAAAATATTTAAATCTTTTACGTATATGCATTCTTTTTTATGAATTAATTTACTACTTATCTAGAGCTCTTGAAAAATATGTTTTTCCAAATATACATCTGATGTTACCATTTATTCAATGTTTTAACTAAATAAAAACAAATTTATTCTTTTTTTTTTCAAGCTCCAAGAGAAAAATGGTTTGGGCGGTGTTGCATCTGTGGTAAAATATGCTACTATGGTAATTAATTTCACAAATTTCTTTCTTCAACAAAAAACTGTTACCCGGTGAAAAATCATACATCTGCTAACATGTATAGTGAAAAATCTTGTTGAAGATTGTTTTAGTCAAGAAATTTTAAAACGCCCGCCATGCAAAACCATTCCAGTTAAAGCGATTTCAGCTGCCGTTACAAAATGTATGTTGTTATTTATTTTTATAGTGTTTAAGATAATAATACAATGTTGATTGCTATACCCTAATTTTTTACCTTTTCACCTATTATCTCTGTTTGTTTTGCTCGCACATTGTTGTCAATATAATGGAATGATATGCGACTGTCATACGTCAAGTGAGCGGTGTAGCTTGGTATAAAACCAGGTTTAATCCACCCTTTCTTACATAAGGAAATGCCTGATCCAAGTTAGGAATGGGACAGTTCTTGTTCATTCGTTCGATATATTCGAGATACTAATTTTGCAATTTTATAAAGGACTTTCAATTTTCAATTTCCCTTGAAGTTCGTTACCTCGAACGAAGACCATCCTTGATTTATTTTTACTTTGGAAAATTAATTTATCATTATTATGTTTGGGATGTTTCTGTCGTAGGCAGATGCAAAGACTTCATCATATATTTGGCTGAATTGCAATGAAAATACAAAAATATTATATTACTAATTAAGGAAGTTGTTATAAGACAATTCTTAACTGCCGTACGATACACATGTTTTACTATATTTATATCAGCAGCAGGCCAGAAAATGTAAGTTAAGTGTAGATTCAATACGGAAAAAAATCACATCTAATACTATACAAGTATAAAGTCAGGTATAAGAAAATTGTTTTCCAATCGTTTCGTCGTTTATTTTTTTAATCGAACTTTTGGTTTTTATGGACTTCAACCTTTCGGGTATATTTATTTGCTAGAACATTATTATTCTACGCTAATATTCATGAGTATGTGCTTATCCTATACAACGAAATAAGACTTAAAAGAAATGGAAAGAAAATCTATTTGATATTACAAAAATGTAGTAAACTATTCTGAAATGGCTCAGGTAATTTGTAAGTCATAAGAATAGTCGATATGACATAATTATATTCTTAATTTACTGTAAACCAAAAGATTTTCGCAGATATTTTGTTTGGCGTTAAAGTTCTATACATTAAGTGATCAGAGGGATGAATTATTTTACATCTGAAAACCTCAATGCATTATTTTTCTTCTTTTTCTTCAAAATTCCTTTTACAGTAAAATGCGATTGCCTTTTTTTGTTGTTCTCAAAATACAAGAATTTCGTTTCAGTTACGAAGGCATTCATTGGTATGTCATTGATTACTCTCGTCATCATTATTCCCTTTGTGAGTGGATTACATAGAAATAGTTGCAAAGGTGAGCTTAACATCAAGAATTTAAACATTTTAATTTGACTCTCACAAAATCATGATAAATATTAAAGAATTTCAATGAGAGTCAAAAGATACAATAGGGATAATCAAACTCATATGTCGAAAACGAACAACAATGCTATTACAATAAAACGAAAACGACTACAAGACAAACAACACAATACAACACAGGACATCAAACCGATATGATGCAATGGACGACAGTAAGAAAGATAATACATAATTGAATGAATATACGAATGAATTACTTTGAGTAAATAGTGGATCGACGCTGTTATTTTTCCAATTTGTAAACAATAGTTTTGTACATTCCTCAGTTGGTACTATCTGGTTGTTCTGATTTCAATCTCGATTTATTGGTTTGAACTGCGTTTAAATATTGGTAAGCTTAATTCATTTCTGATTGTTAATTCAACTCATTCAGGTTACTTTTAGACGTATTTTGTCATTTTTGTTTGTTCTTTGTATATTTTACATCGCTTCATAAAACATTTGACTGACTTATGTATCACATTCAATGCTTTATAGATTGACTGGCATTACATATGAATTTTGTTCTACACACTTGTATATAAAAATCGCACTGAGCGAACTTTGATAGACAACTGCTTACTTTATAAAAAGCAAGTATGATTTATAAATGGCGTTGCTAGAATAGAGGAAAGAGGAAAGACACAATTCGTTAGGTCATATTTGGGGTAAAGGGGGCGTGGTTACGACAACAGGAACATATTCTTCGTCATTTGTGAAACAGATATTCCATAACAGTCAACCAACTCGTGATGGCGTCCGAAAAATGTACGGAGGGATGGTTTTAACTTCACTAGTTGGAACTCTTGGTTTAATAGTTTCCTTGTGAGCAGTAAGCCTCTATCAAGGAAATTATGATATGAAATACAAGCCCTGGAATATCGTATAAACTTGGAGATAAATACTCCGTATGCAGGTACTGCTGAAATGTTGCTACACAGAAATGAAAAATTCACAATTAGCTGGAATCATATCTTTTTTCGAAAAGTATTGTTTTCAACCTACCCTTATTATTAAATTCCAGATATAAGGCAAGATATGATACAGACGTAGCTGTATCTGTTGTATCCTTTATCTTAAGTTCCATGAGATAGATGCTTTAAACATAGTCACCAAATTTGAATTATTCAATGAGAGAACATTATCTATATAGCAGAAATTGAAGTTAAAGGATAATGCTTATTATTTTTTTTTTCTGCCTTGAAAATTTGGCAGACCAAACAAGATAACATTCACAAGCAAAAAGTTTTAAACTTTGTCTGAATGGATCCACACTATCCGATCATGCATTCAGACGTGTATTCAAAAACTACGATGTACTTCTGCTAAATCTTAGATCACAATCTATGCAATTTTGCAGCAACATTTAGATCTTTGACTTTTCTACGCTTTACACTTCTATTCCCCATGCTCAATTGAAAGATCGAACTCACCATCTCAAAAAACAGAGCTTTTTCTATAAAAATGGGAATCGTAGATATAAATTTCTTGGTTTGGGTTATTTTAGTTGTAATTTTGTGAAGAACCACACTGATTCTATCAGAAAAACACTGCAGATGATATTATACAAATGCTGGATTTTTTTATCGACATTAATGTGCTGGCTCGACCAGTCAGTTTTAACCAGGTGATTGGGTTTAGTAAGAGATAAAACAATCAGGTGCTGACTTTTATTCTATCACCAATCCAAAAATGGTAAATAACTGAAAATACAAAAAAAAGTACAATTTTACAATGTGTTAAATAATGTTATTAAAGTTAATGAATCATCCGGTATGGAGTAGCGGCGTAGTCCAGGATGTAGCAATTGAATGCTCCGACAAGGCGTAGTCCAGAATGTAGAAATGAAATACTTCCAATATGAAAATAGTTAAATTTACTTTGTTACACAGTTAATTATATCACGGAGAGTTTGAAGGCATCAACTATAATATTTCAAATGTTACTCACGCTGTGGTTAGCCACAAATTGTGTTCAAGAATGAATCTTGCGACAGTCCTTTGTCCAGTGATACGACGTGGCAAGGTTGATTTGCAAAAGACGGATGCGAGGCTACGGTAACAATAGAATGTTCTACGGGGAAGTCCAGATTCAACTCCGGAAAAATATAACTAATCGTGAATATAATTACATAAAATATATAGATAAATTAGGGGATCCAAGGCAACACAATATATTTGTTGAGTTTGAAGGACTGATATTTTAACAAACAGTCGGTATTCCAATGGGTACTAATTGTGTACCCCTACTGGCCGATTTATTTTTGTACTCGTATAAGGCAGAATTCATTCAGAACTTTCTAAAAAACAAAAAGAAAAAGCACCTTACGAAATTCCTTAATTTTACTTTCAGATATATTGATAATATCTTTTCACTGAATAACCCATAATTCAGTCAGTACTTGCATCTCATATATCCCAGTGAACTTGAAATTAAGGACACTACTGATACTAGAACGACTGCTTCATACCGTGATATTTTCGTCAACATTGCCACATGTACAGATGGACGACTTCAGACTTATATCTATGACACACAGGATGATTTCAACTCCCCAATTATCAATATCCCAATTTTCAGCAGTAACATACCCTCTGCCCCGTCGTATTGTGTTTTCATATCTCAAGTGATACGTTATGCTCATGCATGTTCACACTATATGGACTGCATATACAGGAGTGTGCTCCTTACGCAGAAACTGATCCAACACAGTTATGAGTAGGAAATATTAAAAATGACACTCCGTGAATTTTATAGACACCATCACGAATTAGTTGATATATACGATGTGTCTGTGACTAAACTAACTAACGACATTTTTACCACGTCTTAGATTGTGGTTTACCATCTACGTCGTCTGGTCTGTTTTCTACCGAACGTGACCTATTCCCGAATATGACTGTTTTGCCGAGTGTGAATTCGCGTTGCTATACGACGTGTATCGGTATTTATATATCTAACATTGTTTTTTTTATCAATTTTCCTGGTCCATAATCAAATAAGTCAATGTGGTGTACATTTTCGTTGTAAAGCTTGTTATTTATATAGTGATGTCTTTGTGGATTGTTTGGCATGTAACGTTACACCGGCATATGTCTCAGCAATCCCAGTTCAATACAAAAAAACTTATCCTGCATGGTTTATAGAAAAAGGATAAACGTTTTCATTTTACAGTCTTTATCATGATTGTTTTAATGTATCAAGTGTATACGTTTTTCTCTTTCATCTTTGTCAGTTTGAAACCTACACTTAAATTACTGGTACTGAAAATCAGCTGACTCAATTTTAATTTGAAAATTCTAATGTCATAATATTTTCAAATGAAAGTTACACTTAATGTTATTTCGGGTGCTAAAGCGCTTTCAGTAACACATTTAACAGACACCTAGTGACTAACTCATTGTGTATCCCTTATAGATTCAAATATCTTCAAAATAATTCATCTAACTCCTATACCAGCCTTTAGCAAATATGTAGGTATAATAATTTTCAGCTTGTTATACCTCAGATTGATTCTGATTATAATATGCTTTTCAGATAAAGGATTTTTCATAATCTTTGGCGTTTTCATGGTCTTTGTGTTTGTGATAGGTCTTTCGATTCCAAGAAAAGGTTTGTATTTTCTATGTATATTCTAACAACTCATTGTCCTCACAATGACTTTTCTTAGACATAACATTCATTTTGATATGAACTTATAATTCTCATATTGTTCGTTACTCAAAAACAAGTCCATGGGGTTAAACGGAAGAACTGACATCAATATTACACAGGCTTCACAGTTACAATTATAATTTTGTTGACTGATACCAAGCGTCTCTGTTTCGACCAGTAACAGAGGTTTTAAATGATTTTAGATGTAATGATACATATAAAACCGAAACTTAACTACCAAAGGGACACTCACACTGATAAGTCATAGATAAACTGACAACGCCATGTTTAAAAACAACCCGACGAAATGACAAACAACAGTCCATAAAAACAGCAGTAGACTAATCTATAAATTAAGCGATTGTTATCTATCGCGACATTTTATTCGCGTCTGAATTGGCATAGCGTCTGATTCAGTCTGGCTGTGCTTGGAGTTCTAGAAACCCCTTATTAGATGTATATTCAACATGAATTTCTAAGATAATAAACTATAGTAAACTCTTTTTGTGTAATTCGGGTTCCGCTGGAAGGTTGATCTCTCATTGAAATTGAACCCAGTAATGTGACAGCAGTTGCGTCACATATAACAACATCTATTGTATTTCTTAAATCAAGCAATATGTCGTTTTGGTTGTGTCAAAAACAAAAGTGTCCACGACATACTAAAATTAAGTGGTCATCTATAACACGGATATTACATGATAATCAACGAGTTCATTATGACTTCTGTACAACTTTCAAAAACGTGTCTTAAACTTTATAATAAAAAATCCTTAATTCAATTTTTCCATTGTAAGCAACAACCCTTTATAAAATGTTCTGCTGAAATGTTGCTATTTACAAATTGATAGTTCCCGATGACACAAGCAAAAACGTCTCCTTCAGCTACATTTTGTTGTAAAACGGCCGTGTGGCTTTAACACATCTCAAACATTACGTAATCCTCGTTATTTTTCACACTATACGAACGTCATTAAAAGGTGTCTGATCCTTACAAAAAAAAACTGTTTCAACGGAGATATAAGAAAGAACGCCTGAAATCGACACTACCTAATTTTTATGGTCATCATCACGAATTGGTTGACCGATACAATATGTGACTTAAAGAGAACGCTTTGTTGTAATTATGTACAATTGTCCCTACCTAAAAAAATGTATTTTTATCTACGTTGGGGGTAAATGAGATGTACTGTTCATTCCAATAGGAAATCATACTACCTGTCTGATAAAAAAAAGTTTGAAAATCATACAGAAAACTGTTTATTTTATTTGATTGCTTTCTATGCATATTTGCTTTATTTATGCATAATGAGGGTTTTTAATTCTTCAATTTATTTCTAATTTGGTTTTTCTTTCAGAAGTTACCACCGATACATAACAGATAAGATTATACAATTGAATAGCAAAATTGGACAATTATATGGAATTCGTTTCAATTCTTTTATGATGTCACCTTTGAATTGCAATTCAGCTAGAATATAGATATTAAACATCTTGCGTTTTGTTTAGCTTTATTGTATGCTATTTATTTATTTGTGCAAGGGGGGGGGGGTGTTTTTGTTTTTGATTTTTTTTGTATTTCTATGGGGTTTTTTTCTGTTGAATAATGGCCGTAAAAAAATCACATTGAAGTTTCTTTCATCGAACCGTCCTATGTCAAACATTTGTTGCTAACAGGAAGGCTACTGAACAATGAGATTTTTTAGCGTAAAATCACAGTCGTTTTATCTAAAGAATTTTGGATGCCTTCATGTCTTTTTTTGTCGTAACATAAATGTTTCGAACATTTTGCAGCAACAAATTTCCTATTTTCCATTTGTTTATTCCAAAGTTGGTTTTATCACATAGGGATATATCTGCTTTATGACGAAGCTAGGATCAGGTGGTGATTGTAGTGGTGGTCGAGGTCATCATCGTAGTTGCTACTCCTCTCAGGTGGTTGATTGAACCTACTCTTACAGCAACAGACATTACTTCATTTTGTCTATTGTAAACTTCCCTCAAGACCTTTATATGGATTATGTTTCTTTCAGGTTCTCCCTATCATTATGTTCCTTGTGAAGGGCTTTGTTTTTTTTTTTCGAAAAGAAGCTCTTTCAGATCTAGGTTAATAATGGTTAAGTGAAAGTACTTACTTGGGAGTTTGAACTTAAGAAAAATAAGGCCTTCAAATGGCATAAGGGGTACATTTTACTGTCACAGATAAACATTTCGACACATGTCTCTTTATTGATACTCGAGGCCAAAATCTTTGAAAATTCAAAGCTAAATACATAAATTGCGAAGCTGACACAACAGAAATGACTACGTATTGCCAAACCCGGACACGAATTAAACTATGTAAATGGAACATAATTTCCTTTATTAAACAAAAATAATGTGCGTAGTTTCATGCCAATACCAGAGTGCTAGTGGTAGTAATAACATTATCGGTACCAAGTTCGCCACACGAAAAGAACATTTCAACAATGAATAACTCTTCAACGGTACTCGGGACAAATATTTGAATCCAAAAGGTAAATACAAATGTTAATTTAAAAAAGACAAAATTAAAGTAAAATCCGACCAGAGGATCAAAGGGAGATACATTCCTCAATTTAATTGATACCGTTAGTGTTATTATTAGCACTGAGTTGGTACCTCTGCTGGTGGGCTGTTAGTCCCCGAGGGAATCACGAACCCAGTACTTCGGCACTGGCATGAAATACAGATATTGTGTAAATGAAATTTGCCGTTATAAAATTTCGGAAATTATTCTAAATTAAGGAATATATCTCCCTTATGCAAAGCTCTAATTCATTGTCAGGCTTTGACTATACCGTTTGTTCTTTTTGTTTTATCAGCTCTTCACTCTTGAAATATTTTGTTTTCAAAAATAATGGCCTCGATGATCACAGAAGAGACATTATTTGTCGAAATGTGAATCTGATGCAGTAAAAGTGATACCGTTAATGTTTTCACTAGCACTGAGTTGGTACCTCTGTTTGTGAACTGTTCGTCCACGGTACTTTGGTACTGACATGAAACTACGGATATTGTATTATTGAAATTTGTAGTTACAACAATTTGGAAACTATTTTGAATTGAGGATTATATCTCCCTAATGCAAAGCTCTGATTCCTTTCCCGGCTTTGGCTATGCTTTTTTTTCCTTTTTGGTTGCACTACATTTTGAATAAGTTTTGCATTTTCAAATATGTTGGCATCGAGAAACACTGAAATGACATTAATTGTCAAAAAGCGCATCCTGTTGTTCCTGGACATGTCAATTAATCAATATGCGTATATCGATCACTTTCCTTTCGTGTATCAAAAGAAATTAACAAATCTATTGGACAGTACAAAGGACCACCTCAACCATCAACACTCGACTCAAATGTATGTACTTAGCAATTCTCTATAAATTACGAATTAAGTTTGTTGATTATGTTTTTCAAATATCAAATCCTCTTCCTTTTGAAACCCTGTCAAAAATATCACATTTCGATAGTCTCAAAATGATAAGTTTAGTCCATCACGCGACAGCAATAATATCACATGTATGAACCTAGTTCAGCTTTATTGGAAGTACCTGAAATTACCTTGAATTTAGAGAGTGGTATTAAAAGTAATAATACTCAGAGAAATTGTAATTTGATAATTTATTTGATAAAAGAAAAAACAGAGAATGTTTGTAAATATATTCTAATATTCATAATAACTGCGATAACAAGGGTCTACTATTATACATGTTACAAATGTATTTCTATTTGTCAATCAATTATTTCATAATCATCCCCGTCATCATTCCGACTTAGTTGAAGTTCATCCTCTTCTTCCTTTATATCGGAATAAAGACGTTCCTGTGGAATTTCCAATAGCTCTAGATATCGGGGATTCGTTTCTTCATATACATGGTCGTCATTCAGTGATTCTGGAGCTGAATGATAACTGAAAGTATTGATATAACATGTATAATGCAATAAAAGATATTTGTTCATAGAATTATATAATGGATTCAGAATGCAATTAGTTTCTGTCATATTAATATTCATATTTCAGACCATATTATTTCTTACAACAATTTAAAGATGCAACTATTGACATGAGGGTTGGGCGCCCGCAAACATTGTTAACATATTACATGTGCCTGTCCCACGTCAGTATCCTGTATTTCAGAAGTTGTAGTTTGTTGCTGTATATCACATTTGTTTTTCGTTTTGTTGTTTAGTTCCTAAATCAGGCCATTGGCTTTCTTGTTTGAATTGTTTTACGTTCTGGTATGTCAGGGCCATTGATAGCTAGCTATGCAGTTTAGGTTTTGCTCATTGTTGAAGTTCGTACATGTATGTTGGCCTATAGTTGGCAACATTTACGTCATTTGGTCGCTAGCAGAAAGCTGTATCCTTGCCAATCATGCCACATCTCCTTATTTTAAATCTAGAATAAATAATATGGACTTTAATGCAGACAATCTTTTATGTTTTGACTCTGTTTCCATTTTTTATCATTAAACTGGTGTTAAAGTAGAAGTTTTAATGATATTTGCAATGATATGTTAATTTCGTTTTATCAACGATTTCATTTTTGCCTTTGAAATTTAAATTCCGCTCTAAGATTGGGAGATTATTTTGTAATACAATAGTTTCATGAGCAACACGACGGATGCCACATGTGGAGCAGGATCTGCTTACCCTTCCGGAGCACCTTAGATCACCCCTGGTTTTTGTTGGGGTTCGTGTTGTTCGGTGTTCAGTTTTCTATTTTGTGTTTCGTTTACTGTTCTTTGTCTTTTGGTCTTCTTCTTTTTTTTGCCATGGCGTTGTCAGTTTATTTTCTTTCGCCTCTCCCTTTCAGTAATACTCCGTCAGTTATGTAAAAAAAAAACAGAAAATTTCCGGCTCCCACCATCACAGCTGTTTTCTAATTTTTGAATTTTCCTTTCAACTGACCCTCATTGTCAATTTGTAGATGTTAGTCAAGATATGAGGCAGACTTAACTGTATCTGTTTTATCCTTTATCTCATTGTTCGATGGGATAGATGCGTTCAACAATGTCACCAAATTTTGAATTAGTTAGTGGTATAAGAGAGGCGAAAGATACCAGAGGGTGGTATCTTATTCCGAATATCGAATTTTAAACTAAAAATTCACATTGCGAATTGCAAATAAGAAACTTCGGGGCCTATGTCGACATTCTTTCAAATTGTTGAGTTTTGCGCTACATTGACTTCAATGACTGTAATACAAATAGATCAAGATACTTTCATAGGATACTTTCACAGGAATAGTTGGCGATCGTTCTAGTGGACCAACAATAAGAACAACACTATTATATGAAAGAAAAATTAAAAGGCGTAAATGTAACGACTGTGCTATAAATATAAAAACATATATTTGAATAATTATGTTGACATAAAAACAAATGTGTCTGGATTTCGGCATTGCATGTGTTTTACAGTTCTTTGTATCCAATAGGTGACACAATTAACAAATTGAAATTGATTATGTTTTTACCAAATGTATGCACATTGTAAGCACGGGTGAATGGTAAACCAAGCGATATGTATCACATATACGAAGTGTGTTTTGCAATAAACAATATAAGTTTAAATATGCACCATAAACGCTCAAAATGATGCGAAATATATGTCGAGCAACGGGGCCACAACTAATGTACATTTTTGTTCAAAATGCACTATTGTTTTATCAATTCAATTTGGTTATACCATTGTGTAATAGTGGAAACTATCGGCTGACCAATTTGTCTTTAGATAGAACGTTAGTCCTCCCATCTAGGACTTTTTTTAGGGAAAAAGAGAAAACAATTAATTTAGTATTGATATCTGGAAAATCATCTGCAAACTGAAACCGAACTGAAAACAGTATTTTTTTTAATGCGCATATGCATATTTTCACTGTGATTTTGATGCGATGGATGACGACTGCATTAATTATTTTTCATTTCAATATTTGTCTGTATTATATTTTGATGTTTGTAAATTTGCTTATATGTTTACTAGTTCATAATTTTGGTCTTTTAGGTCCTAACGTTTCTACGTATTTAAACATCCATGGCTTTCAATTGTTTAGGTTAAAGCGTTCCTAGCAAAGGCAAAAAGTTGCTACATATCAAAACCATCTTAGCTTTAAAATATTAGGTTGTGAGGTTCCTGATGAAGGTAAGTCCTTAAGAGTTCTTCCAACGCAAGAATTCAATATGGTTGTATCTAATTTACTACCACTTGGTAGATAACACTGCAGGGGGGCTGTTCCTCTGTGTGGGTATCAGCAGGTCAGTTTTCAGTATTACGGCACTGGCGTGATCTAAATCATTAACATTTAAAATTTCCCATTGATGAATTAAAAAATTATTCAGACATTACGGTTCCACTTCATCCACCGAAGCTGATCTTAGATGAATTCAGCTGTAACATTTAAATGGTTCTATTGCCACAGAAGGTAAACATTTTATTTCAAAATAACATATAGGGGGCAAGTCGATAAGAACCACAA